GTAGGGAAAAAAGTGTTCAATTGTGTTTGTACATTTTTCTGTGATGAACTGTTGGGATTTGCGTAATTTGTTCTCTTCATATCATAGGCAGCACATTTTTCTTTAATGATGTAGCAAAAAGTGTGTCTACTTGAGAGCAGACGTACATTTTTGTGGCTAAAAACAGCAATTGTTTAGTTCTCTGAGAACCAATACGCAGTATCTAAGCAAACATTCTGCAGTGATACAACATGCCATAACAACAATTCAAAATACAGCAATATTAATGTCTCTGAATAGTCAGCTGGGTTACGTATTTCTCTTACAGCCATTTAATTAGAAACATACAAATTAAAAGCATGCTTGAACCTCTGCTGTAAAAGCCTGAAATTATCATAAGAGAATGCCTTAAGAGTCTGCAATATTTTGATCAAATCCCCCCTGAAACCCTACAAAGGTATTAAATTAGCAATATATTTTTTGCTTAAAACTGTTGGAAGTACCTTTAGATAGTCATACTTGTAAACTGTATTTCTACTTACTGCTGACTTACTGTTATCTTTCTGGTACATTCAAACATAGAATGCTAGAGAAAGACCAAAAAAAAAGGAATAATAATAAATTTTAAAAACTTTGTAAGATATCATGAGTTTCTCACAGAAAGGATTCTGTGTTTTGATAGGTAGGGGTGTATGCATACATCTGTGGGTTCACAAAGACTTACTGTTTTCCATGTTCATTTTTGTTATCTCATTTAGTAAAACTCAAGGGGAAAAAATAGATGTCCTAATATGTAAATACATTCACAGGTCAAGCAACATGTTGCTTCTTCTCTAGCTCTCCCTCAAAAGATTTTCAGTGTACATACATGTCCAAAGGTCTCATTTACATTAATTTCCCTACAGTACACTACATACCATTACTTGCCTCCTCAAAAATTTTAATACGACAAGAATGCCAGTGGCCACTGGTGTTTCTAGTTAGCTTGTCATCTAGACTTGCTCTTAACAGTCTTAGATAAGTTAATGACAGTTCATGTATAAAAGCAGAGCCACTGTTATGGTAATTTTAATGAAACACAAACTTCTGAGAAGATGCATTTGGAACAAAAATTCCTATATGCTCTTTCACTACTATATGTATGTGAAGGGTGTAGCCATAATCCTAAGAACTGTGGGCAGGAGGAATCTACTGAATTGCTTTATTTCACTGAAGAATTTAAAGGGCAAAATCTTCATTTTCCTAAGACTTGAGATAACTCTAAAAAGCACATCCTGTACAAACTTTTTAGTTAGATTGGCAGAAAGACTTTAGCTATGTCTTAGTCTACTACAAAAATATTCTAATACTATTAATCCAATTTTAAGGAAGCTTTCTTACTGAAGCAGTCTTGAATACACTGCATACAAAAATGCATTTTCTTGTGTTATGCATACCAATTAATTAAGGTATGTGATTCTGAATTAATGTTCTTTTTCTCCCACTGCAGGAGGAGGAAAACCATAGTTCTGTGATTATGACATTACAGTTTGGAGCTAAAATGTTACTGTGATGTCACATATCTGCTATTATGGACTATGTTTACCTGTGATGTAAGTTCCCATTTCCCACCCCCCTCCTTAGTATCCTTCCACTTTTGTCTATGTTCTACCCCACCTGCATAGAACAAACTTCCCACCCAGTCTGTGAAGCTCTCCTGCCCTCTTTATTTTAATTCTTGTGTTCCTTCCATCAGACACAAACACTAATCCACATCTATCAAAGCCATCTCAAACCCAATGTTACATAAATAATAAAGAGAAGCCATAGGACAGGAGGAATATGAGGGAAAAAATAGCTTGCTTTCTCCTCTGGGTCTCCTTACATATCTTGTTTTATCTGCATCAACTTTTAGATTAGAGATAGCTTACAGCCAGGATTATTTTAGTAGTAGCATGGTCTGGAATAGCACAGCAGTCACACAGCCTCTCTACAGGTTAGAGGTGTGAATTCCATCTCTATCCAGCTGCTGCAAAGATTCCTGCACATAACCTGGTTAACTTGAGCTTTGTTCACTTCTAATCTATCCTGTAGTAAAACATGTTTCTGGAAGCTGGGAAAAAAACCCTCCATAGCCACATTTTATCTACCGCTTTTTTTAAAAAAACCAAACAAACTACTTTTGTGAAAACTAAATTATTTCCTTTCTGACATATGAAAGCATTAAGGTAGGTTAAATGTCAAACCTAAAATGTTGCTAGAAATAAGTTAGGTAAAATATGGTGTGTTGGTCTGTGTCAATTAGTTACATATCAGATGTTTCAGATTTTTTCCCCACTAATCACCATTCATGCAAAATACAGTTTGGGTTTTGAGAGTCAGACACCTGGCACATATTAATACAATGGCACAGTTGGGATCAGAGAAATTTTATGCCCCATCCCAGATGTGCCTAGCAAGGGACATGTTTGGGATAAGGCATAAAATTGCTCCAGTCCCAGTCATGCCACTGCACAGTTGCCTCCAGCCTGACCCTGTGAGTTAGGCAGAGGATAGCTCTGTTGTGGAACCAGTTCTAGACTCTCTAGGGCTCTCTGGGGCCAGGGCTGCCAATCAGCTAATTGTCAGCCTCAGCCCTGGGACAGCCCTGCGTCCCATGGTGCTACACGTTCAATGTATGGCACCACACAAATGAGCCACAAAGATGTTCCACAAATTTTGGGGAATATCTTTGTGGCTGGTTTGCTACCACAAATAGGCTGCACATGTAGCAATGTTTATGGTCCAAGTAACACCTTAATCACATCATAACTGTAAGTATGCCAGATTTTTCTCTCTGGGCCCCAAACCAGAGGTGCTCAACCCCTGGCCCACAGGCCAGATCCAACCCCCAGCACCATGCCAGGCAGCATGCCAGGCTTCCCACAGGTATGGATGTTTGGCAGCAGAGAGTGGTGGTAGCCTTGATTGCTACTTTCCTGCTGTCAAACTTCTGGACCCGTAGGGAGCCCTGCGGTGCACTGGGTTGTCCACAGATGGATCCATGTGTACGGGGTTGAGCTAGTGCACAGCAGGATCAGGCTGGTGAGGAAGGTTGGGCAGTGCACCACTGCCATAAATTATAGCTCTATATCCCTGTTCTCTTACTATTATACTTTTGATGATACCTGTGCAGCTTCATTGCCTTAACATACCATACCATAGGCTTAATTTTTCAGTTTAAAAGTTGCTGACTGCTAAAAGATGGAAAACTAATGTTTTATTCTTCTTTTGAGGCTGAGGGCCCTACATAGTTAAGGAGGAATAAAAAACATCAAACATTTTTAGTCACATAAATTACCAAATCTGACTCTGAATCACACAGAGTAAATTTCTGTTCTGAAGAGTGACTGTGAAAATGGTGTGCTGGTTATTAAGAAATCTCTGATTTTTAATTTTTTTAAACTTAGAAGAAACTTGATTTATAACATGCATCTTGATAGAACAAACAGCTTTTTGTCTAAAGGAACTTGCTTGAGACATTAAAGACAAAATCAGAAACTAATCTTTTCATAGGTCCCATAAAAACAAAATTCTCTCTGTTCCTTGTTACCCTAAATATCTTTTTTTTTCAGTAACTGCACTAAGATAATCAAAAATGGTTGTTTGCAGACAAAAAGAGCTTTGATATAATTCAATATAGTGAATGTTAAAGCTGCTGCATTGTTCAAAATAACCCAGCCTTCATATCCATCCAATGCAACAAACAAAAGGCAAGGGAGGAAAAGAAAATCAATAGTTTCTAAGTTGGAAAGGATAAAAGCAATAGATAGGATTATTTTCAAGTTTTTAAGAGGACATTACAAATGGTCATAAGACAGGATACACACTAGCATGGAACAGTAGGTTAATAATATTTGACTTAAATATTTAGTAAAGATCATTGGAGTATAAGATACTGAAACTATAATACTGAGGCACTGCTAAGAGACTGACACAAGCTACAAAACAGTAATAAAGAATAAAATATACATGATATATGTAAAAATATATAACACGTTATAATTATGGACTCTATATTAGAACAAACATGCAGCCTAAATGTCAGGATGCATACTGCAAATCACTCCATAGATATTAACAAGCAGTCTAGTCTTGCCTGGAGAATATTTGGTGGAGTCACTGGGTTCCTGCACCTCTCGTATACAGAAGTACAGCAAAGCAAAGTACAGCATACTAGGGGCAAATCTCTTGCATGATATCCCCAAATACTCTGCCCAGTGGAACTGTACTAGTTTTAGTGGGCCAGGGTGCTCTATGTCCTTAAGAAGGGACCAGGATATGATTCCAGGTAATCAAAAAACAAACAAATCATGAATAGCAGTGGGTAAACATTTCCATCAAACATTGCTGCGAGAGTTTTCAACCAAACAAAAATGTTTGTATATCTGCTTTTGTAAAAAAAAAATTGTAATTGGAAAAAAACAAACGTTTTTGACTGAACACCAAATATTTTTTCCATTATTAGCCCAAATTTGTCATTTATGTAGTAACCCACAATTGCAAAATCCCAAGGAAAAAAAGCATAGGTATTTGACTACTACATTCTCTGACGAAACATTGCTTAGATTACATTTTTATCAAGGTTTTTTTTATTGTCCACTGTGTTTTTACTTAAGAAAAGCTGAGAAAGATTATAAATTGAGTAATGTCCAATATCAAATTGCAAAACAAGGAGTAGTGGGTCACATTGGGAATGTTTTGGCTGAGCAGGTTTGGATGTTCACAGATTAGTATGACAGTTTGTAGGGTCTCGTTTACCTTTTATTAGTTAAAGTGAAGTAATGCTCTGAAATGTAAATATAAAGTCAGCAAGTATATTGCCAATTAATCACACTACAGCAGACGTACCCATTTGATACAGAGCACCTCACGCTTTTTGTCAGTGGATCAAAAATGTTTTAATGAGGAGGTTAAGTAGCATCCTGTTTTACTTATAGAAGGACATGTAAAGAGTTCCCCCCAGCCATTCTGCCTGAAAACTCAATCTGGTATCTGGAAGTCAAGATCTGTTTTTATGCTGGATGCACCATTAGCAAGAGATTTTATAATTACTACTTTGTTAATGTTCTGGATATTTCAGTCAAAATAGAATCTAGCTTGATCTTCAGTCGCTGTGTTGAGACTACAGGAGTAACAGATGTGAAAGGCAATTGTAACTTATTTTTTTTCTTTGACATAAGCAGATATGGATGAACACAGATCTTTTGATTATGGCTATGCATATTTTCCATAGCTGCTTTTCAGATCATAATAATACTTCTTTTTGTAGACATTCTTCAAACATCAAGGCTTCTCAGTCCATGTAGGTTTTAGAATTAATCAAAAGTGTAGTGAATGCTTATTAGAAATCTCCTGTCCCTAGGAGATAAGGCAAATGCTGCACAGATTCTTTGTTGGATAAAATTCTCTGAGACAAATTCCCTGCTGGCCACTGACTTCAGAAGAGTGTCCCTTGCTTACTCTAACAGTGAAGTTGGCCTTATAATGTTTGTTTCTAAAATTAAATTCAAACTAATGATACTTTTAAAAACTATTCTAAGTGTCAAAGCCATCTTAAACGGTGTGTCAATTTTTCTTTAAATATATTATGCATGTTACTTAACCTCAATGTTATATGTTGCTGCCTGCCACTCCCACATGCTTTTTTCTTCTCATATTGTGTGTCAGAAATTAATTTACATCATACTCCCAGGAGGCAAGGTGGATGCTTTATTTACGTATTTCCTGTTAAATTGTAGGAGACAGGTTGCAGTGAAATTTTACTGTTTCAGTTTGTCAGGTATTGAACTGTATTGCAAATCTGAAAAATCTTTAAAAAACAATCAGCTGAATCTGCCTAACATTTGCTTGCCTGCTCTTTGCTGTGTCACCACTGGTACAAGTTGTGAATGCTTGTGGTCTGATTTTCATGGATGTTGAGCACATGTAACAGGGGTGAGAAAAATATGGCTCACAGGCTGTATCCAGTCCTCCAGTTGATCCTATCCAGCCCGCCAGCCACTGCTCTGCAGCAGCTAAGGCCAAACTGACAGCACACAGACTCCTGTGCTCCCTCCTGCATCCGGTCCCTCCACCCATCCGCCTTCCTGTTGGTGCTGCAGCTGCGCAGTCCTGGCACCACAGCCACTGGTAGCTGGCCCACACAGGGTGCAAGACACTGTGTCAAGTAGCCACCACACCTGTCTATCGTGATAAACCACTGCCACCACAGTCCCACTAGGAGGCGAGTTTATGCTGGCTGTGGGGGGTGACTGAAGATCAAGCTGCGGGGGGCTGGCTGTCACCAGGAGCCTCCCTCCTCAGGCTCTTGGTAGCAGCCAACAGGCCAGATAGGATCAATTGAGGGCATCTCCTAATCCCGCCCTCAACAGTTCACCAAAACTTGTTAAGTGGCCCTCCAGCCCAAATAATTGCCCACCCTGACAGACTTAGTTAAACTAATGGAAAATTTGAGTGCACAATGCTCTTGGAAAGTCACCTAGTAGAATTAAGGCTCCAAACCTGCAAAGTCTTTAAGGTTTAACTTTGAAGTAAATGATTTATTTCAACTGGAGGTCAGCGGATTTAGAAGTCTTTGAAGAACAGAGCCTTTAGATAACATTTGTCTAAAGCCTGGATGTCAAATACATCAGGCCCTGGGGATCATATGAGTAGTGTAGAACCAATCCACAGGATGGATGAATTGAAGTGTGTACACCAGATTGTGTGCACAGGACCTATCTGGTGTGAGTATTTCACGCTGTCCACAAGTGGCAAGCCCCAGGTGCTGCACACACACCAGATCCAGCCATGTACCTTATGTGCTGTGTGTACCTGGGCTGCTAAGTGTGCAGTGCATATGTGCCTGATTTGGCCGTGAGTGTTGAATGCAGGGCTGTTTCAGCACACACCACATGTGGTGTGCAGGCCTATTCTAAGACCTCTGAGCAGCATTGCGGGCCAGATGATAGGGATTCATGAGCTGGATTTTTGACAGCTCTGATCTAAAGGATCAATGCATCCAGTTTTACATTAAGAACATTGTTGCAAACTCCCATAATTTGATCATGGCTTTTGTGATATTTGTTGATTTTTCTCTTGTGAACCTTGTGAATTTTTTTTTAATTGTTGTAAGTTTCCATTTCTTACAGTTTCAGAGAAATGCTGGGAAATTTGAACCATTAAGACTGTGACATCAGAAAGCAAATAACAAAACCAAGAAGTATTTATTTTAAGATTTTATTATTTTTAAGTTATTTTGTGGTTTTGGAGGGTAGACCCAGGAGTTTTGGAAGCCTGTAACTAGCCACACTGCAACAGTAAACAAATGTCAACATTCAGAGCTAGAAAGAGAAAACAAAGTGATAGAGATACTCATAACACTTTTTTCATTCCATTTCAATAGAAAGGGACTTTTGCTTTAAGTTTACCTGTGGATGTCACACCTAAAATAACTGTAAATTAAAAAGAGAAAAAATCTTTTTTCAATTTGTTGACTTTACACAATGCTGTGAAATATAATGTTCATGGTTTCCTCTGCATATGTAGGTCTTTAACACAAGGAAGAGAAGAAACTATAGAAAACTTGGGAATTAAGGGGTAGATAGAATACTTTAAAATATTTTAAAACTAGTCAATAAAAGATGACCATACCCTTTTTGTCAATTGTGCATTGAATTACAGAGTCCTGGGAATAAAATAAGTTTGACATTGTAGCCAATTCATGTTATGCATATCTTCAGTTCTACAGAATTTGGCACCCATAACCCAAGTGTCTGACAAGACATGAGTGCAAGTTTCTTATATTTTTCCATTTAACGCATAGTTTGATTGTAAAGCGTGACTTACTTACATGATATCATGGGTTCTATGTCTTGTTTCAATTATTCACATATCAGATGATTACTGCATGAAATTTTCCCCCCCTAATTGCTAGCCATGTAAACAGTCTTGATTTAAGAGAACTAAACTGTTTTGTTTTCAGTTCACATCATCAGCACTAATAAGTAATCTGCAGTGCAAATTATGTCCTAAACTACACCTGCATGTCATCATTTTCTTATATTCTATTGCCAGTGTGGAGGAAACACAGGTAGAACTGATTGAAACCCAAGTCTAAATTGTTCAAGAAAACTAAGTTAAGGCAGGAGTAGCCAAGCAGTGGCACAAGTAACACATAACAGATCAGGGAGGGGATAGGCAGCACAGTAGTAGATAGGGTAGAAGGCAAAGCAGGAAATGAGGCAAGGAGCACAGAGTAGGGAACAGAAAGCAGATTAGCAGACTGGGCAGAGGAAGGGGGTCAGCATGGCACTTGGGGAGGGTGCAAGGCTACTTTGTGGCACTCCTGTAAAAAAAAAAAACGTAGGTTCTTACTGAGCTAAGGGGTCTCCTTCAACTATGTTGTTAATTGAATATAAGAAGTGAAAACAGTGACACGCACAAGGGAGATTTGATTCCAAATACGCCCAAAGAGATTCATACTTTAAAAGAATACAACCTATTTTGAAACGTGACTATGCAAAAATGACATTCTGGGGACATAACTCCCCATGAGATAAAGGAGGGTGGCCGTTTTACCACAACTCAGCTGTTGTATGGTAATTGCTTATTTGTGCATGTTTTTACCCCATGGTAAATTAAATCTAACCCACAAGAGCTTCACCCCTGTGAATGTAGGTTAGCTTTTGTCTACTGCAGGATAAGAGTGAGCACATGGACAGTTACCACAGAGCAGCTGACAAGTGGCAAAGCCCTAGCCTCCCATTGCCTCATAGCCAGTTTTCGTATTCAGACTTGCCTTCTATGTGCATTCAAAATCAGATTTTTTTAATGTTTCAATGATAAAAATAATTCAGCATTTACTTGAATGCAAGATTAAGCTACCTGACCCCCCCCCCAGATTTATTTTCTCTGCTGGAGCAGTGGGAAGGGGACAAGTTCCAGGTAAACTTCCCATAATTAGATTCTATACCTGGAAAATTATAACAAATTTACAAATTTTTCATTTATAGGATCTAATAAAGGGGGGAGGGGACTCATTTTATATTTGAGTAAATATGGGTAACTTTTTTAATTGTCATGTTTGTGAACCAAAAGCTTAGTACAGCCGAGAGCACAAAAGCTGACTTTTATTCTTTCGTGTGCAAATTGCTTTTCAGCTTGCAAAGGCCGTTTGGTTATGCAGTACTGTTAATGGCAACGAGCTGTATAAGAAAGAACTCAACTTTTAAACAAAGAGATTACATAAATGTAAAGAGGATACCATTTGGTCGGGCCAAGCCTTTATTATAGGTAGAAAAGGAAAAAGCATGCTTGACTCTTCAGAAACTAAACTGACTTTTATAAGGCTAGCACCCAATAAAAAAATCTGATATAAAAATTGAGGCACAATATATAAGAGGTATAGGTATGGATTGACTTAAGTATCCCCGTGTTCCCATCTGTCTGCCACATAATTACATACTAGTTAACTCTGTTCCCTTCATCTCTAGTCTTTTCATATCAAAATCTTAATAATCATAAATACCAATATTTTCAATATTTAAACAATATTGGAAGATACTGTAGAACAGAATGGGTAGAGAGAATCAGTAGTTCACAGACTGTTAGATTATTGGCACTATGAGACTCTACCATCTCCAGAAGGAACAAAGGACAAATGCATTTGAAGTAAAAGGTGCTCACAGAGCTAAAAGAAAGGAAAATGCAGTAAGCAACAGTTTATTGCAGGATAGCCACTTTACCACAGAAGTTGCTTTTTTGGCAGATGTAAAGGACTAAACCCAGAAAGACATGCTGAGAAAAGTGCTTATAAGAACACATCCCTGCAGTTAGTAGGGTTAATAGAAGCTAGATTGATATGAAGGAAGATGCTAGTTCTAAATTAATAGCGTATCAGAAGTAAAAGTCAGTAAGTTTGGTATTAACTTACATAGGTGATATTAGGTATATATAAGCTTTCTGTATTTGTTTGTTCTGCTTGCTTTTTCTAATTCTTCTGGAAGCCTTTGTAATGCTAAGTAAATGTCAGTGACCCCCACCCACCTCTGATAGACATTGCTGCACTCAGTGGTGGGCATTTGGCTATGGTGTACTGGTTCCTAGTATAGTAAAAGCCCTCTTTTCTGGCATGAGTGGGGAATGGGGGGGGGGTGCTGGTAATCTAAAAATGTTGGTTACCTGAGTCACAGGGGCTTCTGGGGGGAGGGGGGATGGTAGTGGCCACACGCGGAGTGGGGGGTAGCAGGCAGGTGGCAGCCACACACAGAGCAGTGGCAGCGCCGGGTGGTGGGTGACAGTGGTGGCCACTGCGTGTGAGCTTCCTTCCCCTCCAGTGTCCATCCATCCAGCCAGAAATTCCAGTCAATAGAAATACCAGTTGGTAAAATGCCGATAACAGGACTTTTACTGTACTTAGAAACCTCTCAGGTAGCTGCTCAAACTGACTGACAGATTTAGGGTTAAAAAGAAATCCCTCCCCCTGGTCAGACTGATGAAGATCTGGTGTTTTTTACAACTTTTTTGCTTTCCTCTGTAGAACAAGACATGCTTAGAACATATTCCTGTCTTAGGATCATCAGAACACCACAAGTTAATCTAATAAATTATCTGCCATTGCAGTGGTCAAGTCCCTTTTTACCCCTTCTTACCGGTGTTCTTTACCTGTTGCAAAATGCAATTATGCGACACACACAGTGCAAATATTAAGACATAAATCTCAGGCACCCTCTAAATACTTTTAACTCATTGCAAAACAGCATCTGTACACAATGGATTCTAAGCAGGTCTGCAGGGCATATGAAATGGAATTTAGAGATAGAAAGTGCTCGTCTAACATTACAGGGCAGGGGTGCTTTTCTCCTGGTTCCTACATGACCCTTCCAGTTGTAAGGAAAAAATAGGAAGGCACTGTTTTGGTAAACACCACCAGTAAATACTTTGCAGGTTTTCACTTTGCATTTGCAAATAGGTACTTTCCTCAGTGTTTTGTCAAACACATCAGGGATGTTAACTGCAATGTTAGGGTTGCCTGCAGAAGCACAAATACAGCTTCTAGCTTGGCTTCATCATGATCAAACAATCCCACCCCCAGCCATACACTGTGAATTAGATACAAACTCTCATGGTATCTGGCACCATACCATGTCCCCAATAATAAACAAAATATTGAGTAGCAAACTATCATGCAACCCACTAGATACCAACTCCTTCCATGCCAGTGAACAGGGGAGGAAAGCTGAAAAAGGACTTACCATCTCCAGTGTCTCCCAAGACTATAAAGAGGTACTGGAGATAGCAGTCCAAAACTATAAAGTGAGGGGAAAAAACAAAACCTTTTGTTATTGCTGCTATGGGAACTGAACATGAACAATGATTGCCTGTTATTTTTCTCACTTTAAAGAGTTGGCACCAGCAATGTCCTCACTTTCAAGGGCACTAGTGTTAGTCTCTGAATGATGCACAGTGAACTTGAGAATATAGCAGGTGGGGGAAGAGATGTTCTGAGAAGCTGTGGAGAAATAGAGGGAGTTCCTGAGAAGGGTGGAAAGGAGAGGTAATGGGCTGGGAGGGTAAAGAAGCATTCATTGCAAGATCTGGCAGAATAGAGGTTCAGTTTGAGTCAATGGCTATCAAAGAGGACAATGATTGAGTAGATTGAAGCTATTAAACAGAAGAGAAGTTATATGGATGTGAAGATGCAGAAGCAGGTCATAGATCTTATGAACAGGCCAATGTTACCATTGGAAAGTATGTTCCAAACTCACCATCTGTCCTCTTATCTTTTCCTATTGGAAGCAGGTGTTCATCAATAGAGCTCCCCCTTCAAGCCACAACTATTTCCAACCCAGTGGGGAAAAGGAGCTTCAAGTGGGGCCTGACCTCCTTTGATCCTTGAACCCAAATACTGTATTTCCCTAAGGGAACTCATATTACTGTAGTGCCTCTGTAGCTCTGTCCAAGACAGTGACATTTGTCATTCTAAATTCTTTTAGTCATGTAAGGTCTGCAGTATGATCCTCTTCCACCAGTCTGCGTTTACTTCCTAAACCCCAAGATCCCCAAGCAGTCCCAAAAGAAAAGGCAATTCTCACTGTGATTTAGAGCCTTCCCCTCCAAATTCTGAAGTGAAATGTAACTTATTCCTTTTAATCCCTGCCCTCCCCAATTTAAACAACTCAAAATATTTTAGGGGTTTAGGTTGTAGCCGTGTTGGTCTCATCCTCACACACAACAATTTTACTTTTAATAATCAACACTTCCTCCAGATGATGGGAACAGCTATGGGCACTAAAATGGCCCCACAGTATGCCAACCTTTTTATGAGCCACCTGGAAGAAGACTTCAAGAACTGCACCATCAAACCCTTGCTACACTAAAGATACATCGATGACATCTTCATCATTTGGACTGAGAACCTGCAATCTCTGATTGAGTTCCATCAGAAATTCAACAATCACCATCCCTCCATCTGACTTTCCTTAGAATACTCCAGCACCAACATCTCCTTTTTAGACACAATGATCAGTATCCAGAAGGGTAAAATACAGACCACAGTATACAAGAAACCCACAGACCAACATACATATCTGCACAGAACCAGCAATCACCCGAAACACACCAAAAAAGCTGTGATATACAGCCAAGCCCTCAGATACCACCGCATTTGTACCGAAGAGAACACCCGGGATCGCCACCTCACCAATCTTAAAAAGGCTTTCACCCAACAAGGACACTCCTCCAGAGAGGTAGATCGCACGTTTGAAAGAGCCACCTGGATACCACGTGAAGAACTGCTGCAGTACAGAAGAAAACCCCCCACAAATCACACACCGCTGGTTATGACGTATCACCCCTCCCTTGAACCTGTATGGAAAATCCTCAAAAAATTGCAACCCATATTAGAAAAAGACCCTATTCTGCCAACACATCTCCGCCACCCCCACAATTACTACACCCCACAACAGAGCCATCAGCATCCCTGGATCTTACAGCTGCACCTCCAGAAATGTAATATACCTCATCCAATGCACCAAATGCCCTGATGGAAGTTATGTAGGAGAGACCAAACAACAACTGCGCACCAGAATGAATGCACACCGGAAATCCATCAAAGACAGAAATACCCAATTACCGGTGGGGGCACAGTTCTCACAGAAGGGCCACTCTCTCTACAATCTCTCAGTCCTGATCCTCAAGGGAAATTTACACAACACTTCCCAGAGACGAGCCTATGAGCTCCATTTCATCAACCTCCTGGATACTAGAGATCAGGGACTAAACATAGACATTGGATTTTTGATACATTATAATCTGCTTGGCAACTGACTCCCCAGCCCAGCCCCTGGCTTCTTTACTTTTCATTCCATCCATCCAACCAACTGCTGAAACTTCCTTAGCTTGACGAAGGGTTTTTGAATCCGAAAGCTTGCTTAATAACTATTCTCCAACTATTTGGGTTGGTCTAATAAAAGATATCAAATTCACCCAAGGAACCTTGTCTGTCAAAATATTTTAGACATTTTCAGTTGTTTGTGCTTTTTCCTTTTTCATTTTGATTGGGTTTTAAGGACAATAGTGTAATGGAGGAGGTTTTTTTCAGTGATATGGAAGATTTTATGTTTCCCCCATCAGCCAAGCAACTGCTGTTTGTACAACAGGCCCTGTATATAGCCAATGAACCTAGCCCCACACCCCAGCACTCAAATCATGCAATGAGACCTACAAGATACACAATGTTAAAAATTAATGAAAAGGCATGTTTCCAGATCCATTACACAAAATACCCCAGACTGACATGCAGCATTCTAGCTAAGTATTCATAAAGACACACAGATTACACAAACCAACATTCGCTACCCATAAATCCATGCCCTATCCCCAAAATAGGTGCAGAAAGCCTAGATGGTGTGCTATTGGTAACTGTCTGCCAGATCATACCTTAACCTAACTAGCTATTCCTATGGACCTGCAAGTCTCTGAACTTCTGCCTCCCAGCTACTGGCAAAGCTCTGTCCTTGCTCTCACTTGTGTAGAACAGTTATAATTCAAGGCAGGTAATGCTTAGCAGCCACAAGGCTTTCACTTAGCACCTGCTAGCTACCTTTTTGTCTCAACCGCACATTCCACTATTATCCTGCAACTGCCAAGGTCAAAATTTAAACAGTTCTTTTCAGCAATCCAAACAGCAAGGGAAAAGGCTGTACTAGCTAGTGTAGTTAAGCGTAAACAAATCTCTCAGAATAAGAGGAATCAAGCAGGCTTTTTCCTCTCCCATGTTCTCCCAGTGCCATTCATGTTCACATTCTCAGCCACACTGTCAGCTCACCCTTTTTCATTAAGGAAAACAAGCAAGTTTCTGAAAAAAATCTAACGGTGTGCACTTTTTCAAACAAATGTTAATATACCAGCTGAATGCAGGACCTGAGAGCAGAATGGAGAAATACCTTTTTCTCTTTTTCAGCTCTGATGATAAGGGCAAATAATAGGCATATGGGTGCTATCAGGTGCACCAATACGATTAGGGAACCCCAAGGCACGAAAAGCTATCTGTAATCTCCTGGGGACTGGCAAACATAATATACAATGACAACTTTTTAATGGTATTGTCAATAACTTTCAAACTGGGTGGAAGGGTGAAAAGAATTTAAGCAGACTCTTGGGTCATTCCAATGAATGTGAGAAGTCTATTGATTGACAAAGCAGAATTACTGCAAGATTAGTGCTGTGACCAAGCGTAATCTTACAGAACAGGTGCTGACTGCTGCAAAGCAAAGGTAGCTAGGCTCACAGCCTCCAAATGGTCCAGCACGCGAACAGTTCAGCGGGCATTATATAGAAGTTCCCAAGTTGCTCCCTAGCCTATACCCACTATTTAGACATGGCTGGTAAACATAATCTAATATTCTAATAAATGATCCCTGATTGGTTTTATTTAAATTTCACTGAAACTTCCAGAATCAGATTAAACTAGATGGAGCCAAATAGTTAAAACTTATATCTTTGAGGAAGTAACAGGGCAATAGGAAGGGCTTCTTATCTCCTTTCTTCCTATGGTAGAAAGCTGTTTTAGCTCTGGCTAAAACCTCGAGAATGTCCAGAGGAGGGCCACTCATATGGTTAAGAGTTTGCAGGCCAAACCCTATGACGAGAGACTGAGGGACCTGGACTTCTTCAGCCTCCGCAAGAGAAGGCTGAGAGGTGATTTTGTGGCTGCCTACAAATTCATTAGGGGGATGCAGCAAGGAATCAGAGAGGCACTGTGTTCACCAGGGCGCTTCTTGGGGTAACAAGGAACAATGGTCACAAACTGACAGAGAGCAGATTTAAACTGGACATCAGGAACAAATTCTTCATGATAAGGGTGTCCAAAATTTGGAATGGGCTTCCAAGGGCTCTCCCCTACCTTGGGGGTCTTTAAGAGAAGGCTGGATAGGCATTAATTTGTTGGATCCCCTGACCCCAGCACTCTGGTCATCTGACCCCAGCACTCTTTTCTGTCTAGGCAGGGGGTCAGACTCGATGATCTGTTGAGATCCCTTCCAACCCTAGCATCTATGAATCTAACAAGGCTGCCTTGTTCTTAATTATTGTGTTCAATTAGACACACAGATGTCTCTGTTCTGCTAACCAAGCCAGTCACAGCATCTGCAAACTCTCACATTATGGTATGTAATTCAAGGACAGGCTTCCAGCCTGCTACTGCCACTTAGCCACAGGCCCTTTGAATACAGCCAGGTCTGACAGCAACATACCCATGGCTTAGATCATACAGGGCTACATACAACCTACAGTGTGCACACCTAAATCAAATAGCCCCAGATTGGCTAGGAACTAACCAGTAGCAATCAGAGTTACAGGTATCCAGATGGTGATGGAATAAGGAAATATTCCATCACATTATCCCTATCAAATAAAGGAATTCTTATGTTATCACAGTACCTCGGCAGCTCTGTCCAGGGAAATGGCATTTGCCATTCTGAATTCTTTCAGTAACTTGTAACATCTGCAGTATAATTCTCTCCCACCAATCTTTCCTTGTTTCTTAAGTCTGTGCTATACAAACTGTTCTGCAAGTTCCTTATGAAGCAGCCTCTCAATCTCATTGTCCTCCTGTTCTTCATTTTTATCCCTGTCTGGTTTATCATTCTCTTCTTGGTCATTATTCTCCTCGTGGTCATTATCCCCTGCTGACTAGGAGGAAGAGGAAGTGGCAGCTGCTGCCTCTGAAATCACCAAACTTAGTACCACGGAAGTTGGTTTGCAGAGCTGCAGCAGCATATCATACTCATTGCAGAAGATGCTGACTATTCCCAAGTGTAGCGTGTGACAGCTAAGAGTTGCCTGTGTGATAAAAGTACTTGCTAAGCACTCTGTGAAAATTAAACTAGGTGTTTGTCATTTTTTCATGTATTGCAAGCTGTATGTTGCCGCTAAGAGCTTAATTAAAGTCAAAGATTAGTGAAGCCTTATATGTAGTAAGGCCTTGTATGTAGTGAGGCATTGTAAGATTAGTGAGGCCTTAGAAGTAGTAAAGCTTTATATGTAGTGACGCAGTTAAAATTAACCTTATCAGAAAAATGCAAAGGCTTGTACTGCTATTAGTCAGTCATAAGAAAAGTTCGTAGTGTAAGAATGTAAGTGGCTGTAAGTCAACAGTGTAGCTCAGAAGTTATAAATTGGCTAGCACATCCAGAAATCAGTAGAAGGAAGATGCAGCATTGTAAGAGAAGCTACTAATTTAGAAATTAGCTGCTGACCTAGATTCAGTGGGCCAGTGGATCTCGAGGAGCCCGATGACTGAATACCAGGGTCCTTCCCGGTACCCCTCGGACAGCACAGATCGGGGATGCCTGACTTCAGTGAGCTTTATAGAAGAGGAACTTGTCGTACATCAGGCATCAGAGGGGACTGCCGATAAGTTGCCAATGTGAACTGTTATTGTCTGTCGTTGTCTTGTTATACTATGCGTAGTTGTGTGTTTGTTAAGTCAATAAACCTTTCTTACCTTTTTACTCCCGACCACTCTCTCAATCCCAAACTCTCCCGCTGGCAGCTGGGACATAGAGCAGGAGCAATCTCATCCATAATGACCCATTAAGGTTTGAAAATGGTAGAAGCTGCCCAATGAGATTGTTTATGAAACAGTGAAAGAGAAGCCATGGAATTGTTAGAGTTTGCTTCCCTCAGTCCTAAAAACATTAAGACTTTGGGCTACTTTCATCAATATACCTAGAAAT